TGAAATCTTCAAGCACCCATGGTGGCAACCTGGCTGGTTGAAACAAATACATCTTAAGCCCAACACAATCTCCCTGACCAGTTTCACCACTCTGAAAACTTGCAAATAGCATTGGCATAAAACTGGGGAGAGGCTTATGTAGGCAAAGTGAGCTGAGCTCCTACTTGCCTGGCACAAGCACTCAGTTCACGGTGGGTCCTTCCAGCAAAGGTCTTTGAAGAACTGTATGTCCACAGCTTTGCTACTGCTTTCAGTTACCATTGAGTCAATTTTGACTCATGGTGACCCCATGTTTGTCAGTATAGAACTGTGCTCCATAGGATTTTCGATGGCTGATTTTTCAGAAGTAGAACACCATGACTTTCTACTGAGGAGCCTCTGGGTAAACTCTAACCTCCAATCTTTTGGTTAGCAGCCAAGTACATTAACTGTTTACACTACCCAGGGGCTCAATTGCTGCCACTTAGCTCCAGCTATTAGGGAGCCATAGAGCAAGGAAAAGAGGTTGTCGGGCAGTTTGTAAGCTGAGGCTGGAACTCTGGTTTTTGTTGTCCAGTAGAGAGTTTCACCTGGTACATCTTTTATAAGACAACTCAGAAGTTCCTAATGTGCCACCAAAATAGGCTACCTCTCAAGTTCCCAGCACCCAGTATACCAAAGTTAAGTTCCAACTGCCTTTTTATTTCTCATAGGTAATGCCTAGATACCGTTATGGGCTTAGGAGGGTAATTTTGGGGATATGAAATAGAAAAAGTAAAGATCCTGGCATCAAGTTGATGCTCACAATAAGGTAGCTATAATTTCAATTCTTATTTTAATAGAAGTGAAAAAAAAAGATTTCAAGGCCTTGAGAAGTTCATGCTTGTGTTTGAAGATATTATTCAAATGTAAAAAATGAAAACGAAGACAAATAAAAGAAAGGTCAATTGTCTATTCAGTATCCTATGCTGCTCTCACTTCCAGCCTCTCTCTCCGTCAAGCCATACTTGACCGTGAGAAGTTGCATCTTCCCCAAGTGAGAATTCATAGGTGGGAAGGCTTGAGTACAAACAAGTGGTTAGCCTAAGGTTCTAGTAGAGACGATAACTATTTAATACCTTCTGTTCTCTTTTCTTTGCTCCCTTTAAATTTCACACAAGAATAATTAAGAGTCATCTAGATTTTATTCAAAAAGTAGGAAAGCTTCTATTTTAGACTGATGACTGCCAGTACCACCTTCTGTTTGCCTCATGGTTCACACTTTCATATGTATATCATTCAGTCCATCCTAAAAACAGCTCTGTGAAGTGGGAAGCATAGTTATGACCATTATCCCCAGGTTTCAGTTTGAGGAATCTGAGACCCAGCTGCAGTAAGTGACCTGTCTGCGGTTCCATAGCTGGTAAATGATGCTTGAACTTGGATTAATGAAAGTTCAGTGCTTTTCTAAGTTGTGGCCTTCAACTTTTATTTGAGAAAATAGCATTAGAAAATTTATAACAGGATTGGACTGCCACCCTGAGGAGTAACTTGCCAATTTCTCATTTTTCCAAGAGCAGTGAAGAAGGATCCAGAAGGTCCGCTGTCCCTGGAAATGTGTAATGGCTGGCATCATTTAGATTTGCCAAACCACAATATGGAAGTTAGCCATCTGGGTGTAGAGACAATGTTCATAGAATTTGGAGGCTATTTCCATCAAGAAATGCCACATAACTTGAGTAAGAATTCCACATGGTCAACCATGAAGAACAAGAAGAGTGACTCATCATCCCTTTCTTTGTAAAACTCTAGTAGAATGAGATGGAATTTTTCTTTCTGAGGTCACCTGAACTTGTGGTTTTTCCCTCTGTCTCAGAGGAGAGAGAATGCTTTAAAATAGCATTTTTCTGTTTATGAATGGAATGCTATGATATGTGGGATTGCTTCAAAATAACCTAGTGTGTTTGTGTGGGGAATGGCATAGAGATGAAACAAGGGTGGCCATGAGTTGATAATTACTGAAGCTAGTTAATGCGTACATCAGGATTCACCATGCTTACTATTCTATTTTGTAAATATTTAAAAATTTCCTTAATATAGCAATTCTCTTAAGTATTTTCTAGAGGGCGCTCTGGAAATAAAAGAGGAAGTGGATTCCGTAGTTGAAGCTTAGGACATACGATTTATGAGATCCTTTCCTTGAAAGTCACAGTGAATGCTAGCATATTAAAGACTCTGAGGCAGGGGCCTAACTAAGGAAAATAATCCCTACGGCAATTAGTGTTAAAATGCCGAATGATCTCTCGCAGCTGGCAATGGAAACTGTGACAGGCCAATAGAAACTGCTAATTGGTGCCCCTCCTCAAGCGGTGCCCAGGGCACGCATGATACCTTCCCCCCTCCACCCCCCAGTTAGTCCTCTGCTCTGAGGAGTCCTGCAGTAAAGAATTTTTATCTCGGTTTAATCCACGTTCTGTCCCCCAAACTGACTTGACCATTCCAATTTATTTTTTCCCAAGCAACATCCGTTAACAACTTGTCAAACTAGTGTTCCATGTGACATACTTGGAGGAACCCACTTTAAAAGAACATGTTGTGGCTTTGCGCATGGAAGAGAACAAAAACCAAAGAGCGTTTCCTGCTTTTTCTGCCAAGAACAGCTGTTTGGAAATGGGAAAGATTTGTTTTTCTTGGATGACAAAGAAAAAGCAAGGCAAACACCTGCTGATTATGAGTCATCCCTACAGCAGACCACCATGGGGGGATCTCAGACCTGCCCCATGTGCTGGGTCATCGGGGCATACTACTACAAGCAGAACAGAATAGAGCTAATGATTATTACTAGCCTCTGGGGTCAGATAGCCTGTGTTCAAATCCTGCCTCCAACACTCCAGGTGTGTGGCCAGGGGCAAGTTGCTCAGGCTCTTTGTGCCTGAATTTCTTCATCTGTAAAATAGGGATTTGAATAGTTCCTACACCTTTTAGTAGGGGTGCCAGATTTAGCAAATAAAAAAACCCCAGGACATCCAAATATTACACAGGACATATTTATATTTAAAAATCATTCATTGTTTATATGAAACTCAAGTTTAACTCGGTATTGTGTTTTTTATCCGGCAACCCTACCTTACAGGTTGTTGGGAAGACTATGTGACATAATCCAAATTGAACTCTCAGAACAGTGCCTGGCATGTAGTAAGCACTCAGTTAACTACTGGTTATTATCATTAATACTATCACTTTAATCAGAGGTGCTTTGATTTTATTCTGGTTCTCCCAAAAATGTTGTAAGGATTGCCCTGGATATATAATTTAACCACTGATAGTCAAATGTTCTTTATAATCAATAAAAAGAAGAAAATTATATCTTCCGACTTAAATCCTGAGATTAGAAGTTGCTTTGTAAGGGCTAAGAAAGATGTATTAAGTCGACCTTCATCTACCATTAATGGAAGAAAGCAGTGGAAAGAAAAATAGTTAACATTAGCCTTGTGCAAAATTTTTGTTAATTTTTTAGTTCCAAGAGATTTACCGTTGTAATTTTGTTTTGCTGAGGGAAGAATTAACCTCCAGTTCCTGAGCACATGTTAAGTGAGAGTGGGGAGAGAAAACCATAATCAACTTGGTAGCCAGGGAGCATAAGCCTGGGCTATGGGTAAAGCACGGAGGAAGACAACATATCATATGCAGTGAACTGGGAGTTTGTTGTAATATCTCAACGAGGATTGCCACTGAGCCAGCTTGTCACAAGCTTACAGTGTTGGCAGTACAATTTCTGCAGATTCTCTATTATTACACATGTTGGCAAAGAACTCAAAGATAGAAGTAAAAGTCTAGCTCACCTGAGTTTCCCTATAAAAGTACACAACGTTATACAGTTTTTTTTTTTCAGCACAGAAGCCTGACAGTCATTTGTAATTAATGGGTGATATGTTTTTCTGCTTCTCTCTCTCTTTCTCTGTATTATTGACTCATGACTAGTAAAACTTACTGGACTAAGAATCATGATTTACATAAACATATGGCCATAAGATGTTCTGCAGAAAGGAAAGAAGGGAATTCTGAATACACCAAATGTAGAAAACTGGAGTTTCATGTTTAATTTTTAAGTTAAAGGTGACTGTCCAAATTATAAAAATATATTTTGGGTATTTCTTATCGAAAGAAAATTTACTTATTTATCAGTCCACTTTCACTATATCAAAATCAATTATGGGAGGAAGAGAAAGAGAGCAAGAGAACCTGTGAAAGACAGGAAGAGTGACAGAGGCAGAGGCAGAGAGAGACAGATTGAAACAGAGAAAAAAGAAACACAGAAAATCGAAGAAACTAAGAGATACAGAAGGATTAATGCTACGGCTCATATGTAAAGTGGTAAATCCCCACTTCTTTTCAAACTCTTGTTCCATCTCTCTTTAATCAACGCCAACAGTATACTTTCTTTTGCTGACATCATGCATTAACCACCATCCCCTTTTTTCATATTTTGTCACACGTATCACAGATGCAGAATAGCCTGATTTTAAAGGGTAATCAATTCCATATGTCAGGAAGTCACCCTGAAACTCTTGAGTTTTGTTTCACTTTCATGCTTCAAAGGCTGCTTACAAATATATTTTCCAACTTCCTGATAAACAAAAGGGGAAGGGGCTGCTTAATCCAAAAACGACATTTTTTTGGATTATGAACTAATAATCATTAAAATGGATGAAGCTACTTTAGGTTGTCCTGTATGAACAGCGCTAGCTGGGGCTTCTGGCCCACTGTGGCTATCAAAAGGCTTCTGGACCCAGGCAGTGATAAAGTAAGTAAGTAAATGAATAAATAAATAGCATTGACAATGGGGGGAAACTCTTGTTTGTCAGGACTTGTTAGGTGTTCATTAAGAGGAACTTGCAAAACTTGATTACTCACTTTCTGAGTTTGAATAGTTCCTGGTCTCCAAGAGACAACTCAAGGGTAAAACGAAACCTGACACTTGATTTTCAAACCCTGCTGGTAACACAGTTTTAAGGAAAAAGCACTGAGAAAAGGCTACTTACCAATGTCACAAACTTCAACTCCTTGGCCACCACACCTTGGTCGAGCCAGAAGGAAAGCAGTACCAAGAAGCTCAGGCTCAGGCTGGCTGCCCGGGCCATGAGCAGGGGGGCAGCTGTCATGGTGGGGAGGGCTGCTCTGGACACGAAAGTGCTGCCAGTTGAAAAGACTTTACCGGGGGAGCTATTTAATGAAGGGATTGAAAGAGAAGGAGGAGCCAGAATCATAAATAGTCAAATTTCCAGGAAGCTTGGGGCGGAGTTTGGTATGTATCTGGTCATATAATTTTTGAGGCGGGAGTTAGAGATTACAGTCTCTTCATCAGAGGACACTGATTTAGAAATTAGTATTGGAGTTATTACTCCCTGTCCTTGAGCATGGAAAATGTGACCTAGCTGGAGCTGGGCTCACAAGGGCTCACAAGGACACATTAACTGGGCGCTGAGGTATAAAGATAATAGCTAAGATAGTCTTGGAAAATATCTTTTAGGGAAACTTTCACATAAAGCCAATCAAACAGAATATAAAAGACTTTCTACTCTTTCTATTAGCATTTAGTAAATAGAAATTTGTTGGACCAATGAAGACCTTCTTGACTGTTGTTACTGAAACCTGTACCAATGACTGTTAAGAAAGACAATTCAAAATGTAGGATCACAGTTTCCAGCCAATCTGAAAAGGCTAAGCTTTCAATGGTTTTGCCCATTTGTAATGTTAATATATACGGATGATTCTGTCATAGTCTTTGGACTCGGGCAGACGTGGCTGTGGCAGCATGCTTGTCTGTTTTCCCATTTTTGCCCTTTTGAATATATGCCGAATAAAACTTTCTTTTTTGCTTTACTCAGCTTTGTGATGTTTTTACCCTACAACCACACTGAGGCCCAGAGGGGGAAAGCTGTTACTCAAGGTCACTGTGCATGTTAGTAGACATTTCTTTCTTTTTAGTTTATATTTTCTTTGGGTGAGATGTGATACAATCTTTGCTTTGTGCTATCACTTGGAAAGGGATCTATCCTTACTTTAGAAATTTCAGGCCAGTGATTCCTAATCTTTTGGGAAGCCAGAGGAAGAGAAATCTGAAAGAAGTTCAGAAACTGGCATGATTTGGGCCCATTCCACCTGCTAAACATAGCTCCTTTTTTTAAAACACTCTTGTAGCCTATTGAGGTATTTTTAAACTGAAAAAATGTAAGAGCAGTTCTTGGAAAATATTTAGTCATACCTTTAGATATTTGGGAATCACCTGTGGTATCTCAAAACTAGAATTGGAAGTCTCTTTCTTAACCTGGCACAGCTTTACAAAACAAACAAACCTTACAACTCTGTATTGTCAGTCATCAACTTTAGCCGTAAGCCTTACATTCTTAGATGAGTCACCCTTGCCTCTCTAGCCATGTCTCATTAGGGATGCTACAAAAGAGGATGGTGATCAGGACTGATGGAACTTACTTTCCATTTTCCTCATCCTGTCAGCTCCATCATAGGCTAAAGCAATTCAGCTGCAAATCGAGGTTTTGCGGGATTTAATGCAGAAATCTGTTTGTCCGCGATGCTTCCACTCCATCAGCAAAGGGAAAACAATGGTTTCCCGGCAACTGGTTCTCTGGTTCTTTGCACTTACCTGTGTGAGGAGGGTTCTGTTATTGTGTGATCATGTGATGCCCTGGAATGTGGTGTGTGGGAGAGCTGTTGCTTCTTCTGGTATTGGGAAACATGTGAGAAGAACTACCGTGTGTGAGGTTGCTGCTAGACGTCTACGGGGACTTGTGGTCCTTTCTTTGCCATCACATTCTCCAGCTTCCAGTCCCCACTGTCATCCTTAATGTGTGAGTTTTTGAGGTGATAGGTGCAGGGGAAAGGGGTTGAAGATGGAGAGGTTGTCTAGTCCAGGGCAGAGATGAAATTGCCACGCTGATGCCCACTATGTACACCAGGCAACCCAAGAAAGGAAGCTCCAGCATCCACTTACTATTCACTGGCTTAGTTCTGAACCACATTCCTTAACTTGTGCCAGGTGCCCGATTCTGTTCAATGTCTAACCCCCTCAGTTATCAGCCTGGCTCCTTGTTCTCTTGTCTTCTTCCTTGTCGGACCCTTAGATGGATGCTTGGCACTATTCTGGCTACAGCCTTAGTCCTTCTTAATGATGACTCTGGTTCCCTACCCTATCTATGCTTTGCCATTTTATGTTGGATAAACCCTCCTTCTCACCCAGATTCTCCTTTCTCTGGCGTACCTCCTCTGGGCTCCTTTTAGCTTTCCAAGTGAGAACAACAACAAAAACAAAGGATTCTTAGAGATCTGGAGCGAGGGTGAGGGGCCTGCTTGAATAAAATAAATCTCAACTGAAATGTAATTCAATTTGAGTTTAATTAAGTGGATGGTTTATACCTCTTTTTTTCTATCTCAGTCACCATTCTAACTTCCACTTTGATCATCAATTTATAAGGGAAGGAGAAAGATTCAGGATCATAAAAATGCAGTGTGTTGAAAGACCTGAACACCATGAAGTCGAGACTCAAAGATCCTCAAATCAGATGAAGCTCATTTCAGAACCTTTTATGGCTACTTGAAACTTGAACTCACAAGGCCTTTGCAAAGACTTAGGGGTCATCTAGAATAAGCATACAGATGTAATAGCATTAAAAGTGAGACTTGAAAAATATTAGGATGTCCTTATATAAGCGTCAAGGGTGACAATGATTTTACATGATTAGCGGAACTTACTGGCTGAATCACATATGTTCCCTTGTAGTACTTATCTCTTCATATGTCAAATGTTCAACCTCTAATCAACACAATGTTAGGAAGTTCCGTAGTAGAGCAGATTGAGTTCCTTGGGAAGCAGACTCCTACATGGAGATTTGCATGCCGGAAGTTTATTAGGACGTGCTCCAGGATCAATACCAGCAGGGGGAAGAGTAATAAGCAGGATTGGGCAGAGGGAGAAGTTGGACTGCAATGCAATATTAATGAATATTGCAGCTGATCCTGCCAGGAATTCTGAAGCTGAGAAGAACTTCTGGGCTTGTCCTAAATTGGGTAAGGGAGCTAGGTCTTTTTACCTCCGCATTGGCTAGTCATTGGATGCAGGCTGCCGCTAGTAAGGAATGTGGCCATTGCCAAGGTGGCTCTTTTTAGCCAAGGCAGATCCTAAAGAGCCTGACAGCTGAACAATGTCAACGGACAAAATTTTCAAGAGTTGGGGGCAATTAATCCTTCATTTCATGATGGGGAATCTGGGTGATGCAACACAGAATCCATGACAATGAACTAATATTTATTGGAAAAAACAATTCATGATCCTTGGTTGATCAAGGGCTATGAAAGCATTAAGTGTGCTTCTGATGGTGAGAATCTGGATTGGAGCCTGAGATCCACCTATATTGGTTAGAAGTATTGGTTGTTTACCAGGTAGAAAGGCTGTGTGTTTAATTTCTCTGTGACTTTTAATGCCTTCACAATTGTATTATTTGGCATTTGGTACCTTAAGGGCTCCTGGGCACTCAACAATATTGATGGACCAACAGCCAATGTAAGAGCACATTATTGCATCAGAGCTTTGCTACAATGTTAGCTGCTTTGAGGCAAAATGTAATATATGTTTAGAATAAAAGTTCTTCTGTCCTCCACCTCTCATTTTATGATTCTTTGTGTATTTGTCCTTGGCATAAAATGACTATTTTATTGTCTAGTATATAGAGAAAATTCCTCCCATCAAAGTAAGGTGTGCACCCTAGGGGATTCATGAAATGGGCTATAGAAAGAAAATACTAGAACTTTAATTGCCATTTATTTTTTACCTGAGAAAAAGTAAACTTTACAATTCAATTTTATGTTACAATGGAATATTTTATAATGGAATATTATTTGGGCATAAAACGGAATAAAGTACTGATACATGCAATAACATGGGTGAACCTTGAAAACATCATGTGAGGTTAAAGAAGCCAGACACAAAAGACCACATATTGTATGATTCCATTTATATGAAACGTCTAGAATAGGCAAGTCTACAGAGGGAGAAAATAGATTAGTAGTTGCCTATGGCTGGGGAGGAATGGAGGAATTAGGATAAGATGGCTAAAGGCTTTGAGGTTTCTTTTTAGGGTGATGAAAATGTAAAATTAATTATAGTAATGGCTCACAACTCAGTGGCTATACTAAAATCCATTGAATTGTACACTTTAAATGGGTGAATTGTATGGTATGTGAATTATATCTCAATAAAGCTGTTATAAAATATTTAATCCACAATTAATATATAAATATTTACCAAGAAGAAGGTGATAAAGGTATATAATTAATAAATGACCATATATTTATTGTATGGATTGTATGTTTACACTGATGAGCTTCATGAGTGAATAAGTCTGGAAACCACTGTTGTTGTCGTCAGTTTTTTTTTATTACACTTTAGATGAAAGTTTACAGAGCAAACTAATTTCTCATTGAACAAACTAATTTCTCATTGAATCGATTTTGGCTCATAGCGGCCCCATGTGACAGAGTAGAACTGTCCCATAGGTTTTCTAGGCTGTAATCTTTTTTTTTAAATTTTATTTATTTTGTTGTTGTTTTGAGAATATATACAGCAAAACATGCACCAATTCAACTGCTTTTACATGTACCATTTAATGATATTGATTACATTCTTCAAGTTGTGTAACAATTCTCACCCTCCTTTTCTGAGTTGTTCCTCTCCAATTAACACGAACTTACTGCCCTCTAAGGCTCCTATCTAATCTTTCAAGTTGTTGTTATCACTTTGATCCCATGTAGATAGTTCTTAAAAGAGCATAATGCTCAAGGCAGACATTTTTTACTAGTTAAGCTCAAGTATTTTTTGGTTTTAAGAAAACTTCATGGGATATTTTTGGTTTAAGGTTTAAGATTTTCTCAGGGCGATAGTTTCCGGGGTTCTTCCAGCCTTCATAGCTCCAGGAAATCTGGAGTCCATGAGGATTTGAAATTCTCTTCTTCATTTTCTCCTTTTGATCGGGATTCTTCTATGAAATCTTTGATCAAAATGTTCGGTAATGGTTGCCAGGTACCATCCAGTTCTTCCGGTCTCACAGCAAAGGTGGCAGTTACTCATGGAGGCAATTAACCACACATT